ACTGCTTTTATATATATAAAATATATATATATAATATATATATATATGAATAAATGTTACTGCTTTTATATATATAAAATATATATATATAATATATATATATATATTCAAGTCTGAAGCCCAAAACTATTAACTGCTACAGTTCAGTTAAAAAAAAAAAAAAGTTTTCTGTGAACCAGCCCGGAAATCTAACTACCATATTATACTTGCAAAGAGATTTGGAACACAACCAGCTTAAAAGTTGGAAACCATCTATACTCACCAAACTCTCTACAATCAAATACCCCTTCTCAACTTTCTGAAAACTAAAAGCCTAGTATTTATGGAAGAGAGAGAAGTGAAGGACTCTTTAACGGCATGCACAGAAACAGCTCTGTACATGAAGTACCCAAATCAGTGGAAATATACATTAGGTCCTTTGGGATGATACCAATAATATAATTCATCCAAGATACTTCAAGTATTCCTTTTTAGTATGGAGTTCTTGAATATGTCCAGATCTTTGGAACTGTGAGATTTGTTTTCTCCTTTTTTTTATTACCAGGTGCTATGGACTGAATGCTTGTGTCCCCCCAAAATTCATATGCTGAAAACCTAATACCCAATGTGATGTTATTAGGGGATGAGGCCTTCAGGAGTGATTAGGTCAGGAGGGCAGAGCCCTCATGAATGGAATTGGTGCCCTTATAAAAGAAGCCAGTAAAAGCTCCCACCCACTCTGCCAAGTGAGGCCAGTGACAACACACTATCTATGAAAAGTAAGTGGGCCCTCACCAGACACAGAATCTGCCAGCACCATGATCTTGGACTTCCCAGCCTCCAGAACTGTGAGAAATAAATTTCTATTGTTTATAAGCTACCCAGTTTATGGTATTTGTTATAATAGTCCAAATAGACTAAGACATCAGAGATTTTTTTAATGGTTTTAAATAGTTATTTTTATGGGATGTACATAAGCACATTTTGTTGTGTTGATCTGATCAGTAAAAAAAGACATACATGTACTCTACTACAATGCTGATGAGAAAGTAAACTCATGAAAAGTGTCTGGAGTGCAATTTAGCAATAATTACCAAGAGTTTTATACATGTTCATAGCTTTTGACTCAGTAATTCAACTTGTAAGAATGTATTCTAATAATCAGAGATTGGTTCATGAATTTATTTAACAAGTTATCACAGACTTACTTTCTGCCAGGCATCACTCTTACGAATAAGGATGTTTAATCACATTATTTTACAGCTCCAAAGTTGGAGGAAAAAATGCCATATAACAGTAAGAGTTAACAAATTAAAATACATATAATGAATAAAATATTACACTACCACTGGAAACTACATTATCAAATATCAAAAAATATTTAATAACATAAGAAAATGCTCATATGTTAAGAAAAAATTTTTTAAACAAGATACAAACCTATATGTAACTACATGTACCTACATATAACTACATGTATGGGATTATACATGTAGTTATATACAGTATGCTTTAGATCTTATTAGTCAGGGTCCTTGGTTAAGTTACTTAACCTTGCTCTACTTCAGTGTCTTCATCTATAAAATGAAGGTTTTACATTTTACATGTAAAATAAAGATTTTATATTTCACATCTTAATGGATTGTCAAATGGGTTCTCTGAAAAGTGTTTATAATATTCCCCAGCACATATAAAGCATCAATAATTATTTGCTGGTGGTATACACATACAGATGCAAAGAAAAAATGGAAGAAATATTTCAAAATATTATCAAAGATCCTGAATTCTAATATACCTAATTCTAAGGCAATTAGGAAATTTGAACACTATGTATTATGAGATATTAAAAATTATTTTATAGGATATAAAAAATTATTTTATGAGGTATAGAATCATTTTATGAGGCATTTTTTGTTTTTTAAAAAGTCTTTATAGCAGAGAGAAGTATTTATGAATAAAATATGATACCTAAAATTTGCTTTAAAATACTTTGGTGGGGGGCCTACATGGAGAGTTTTGGGTTCTTTTTAATTTTTAATATTATCAGAAGTAAATTGCCTCTGGGTAATAGAATTGTTACTAGCTTTGCTTTATATTTTCCATTTTCTAAATTTTCTACAGTGATTAAAAATTATTTTTAAAATTAGAAAAATGTTTTCAAAAAATTTAAAGACAATCCTTACCAAGACTCCATCCACAGATGAAACTTTCTCCCAAGTTAACCAAGCTCTTTCTCTGACATGATCTGGTATCCTTAATTTCTGACATAATGCAGTAAAATCAGGTTCTTCAGTTTCTTCAAACTCAAGCCTACCAAATGAAAATATACATGTAATAGGCACATACTTACAATCAAATTAATTAAATATTTGTTTCAATGTTTTGCATACAATAGCACTATCCTGAAAGACAGCATCACTAAATACTTTAGGATCTTATTTATCTTTGAAAAAATTACACTTAGAATTTAAGCATATGTTTATCTTCTTCGGTCTTTCCAAAACAAGAATACCACACAGTGAAAAATGTCTGCTGATCTGGTGAATCACATACTTTAGAGCAGCAAAATAGCCTTGTGAAGGAAAGTAAGTACAATAGCTAAAACTGTTTGGGAAAGCTGGGATGATACTAGCCAAGAGGAAAGCCTTAGATAATATTACAAAATCAATTCAATATCAGTAACTTTGCTAAAATACAATCAATGTTTCATTTAATCTACCTACTAGTATTTCTTACATGATGATCAAATTCAGCCTTTTCTTCTTGATCTTTCTTAACCAAGACAGGCAGTCAAAAAATTCTTCTTGCCTAATTCTTTTTCATTCACTTAATGTCTATTTGACATCTAATAATAATAATAGTAGTACAAGGCATAGCTTACAGTTTTTTAGAATTTGCTATGGCCCCATACAAAGTACCCTTGATGAAGGTAGACTGAACCCCACATCAGCCCTATTAGGTAAGTACTCTTATTATCCTTGTTTTACAGATAAGTACCAAATCAGAAAAGTTAAAGTACTCACCTGAGATCACAGCCAGTAAATAGGAAACCCTGATATAAACCCAATAACCTAACTCTATAATCCATGCCCCTGACCACTATTCCAGACTGCCAACCCTACTTCAAAACATAATTACCTTTTGGTTATCTCAAGAATGAAGATGGTGTGTTGTTCCTAGTGATGGTTTCCCTTACAACTGTATCACTTAAGCCAGAGATAATACAGCAGCAGGAAGACCTCAACTCTCAAAGTAGACATGGGCTCTGTCACTGGAAATGCAGTTGGACTGGGCCCTGAATCCATCCCAAGTAAGTTTCTCGGCTTCAGATTGCCAGGCAGTGGCTCTATCCTTGTTAAGTAGTTAACCTGTAGAGTTTGATAGCCCATGCTAAGGAAACATTTTATGGGTAAGGATAATCAAGAACAGACTGCATGGTTTTGACTTACAGGAGAATTTTTGACAGTTCCATCATTTAAAGGTATATAAAATACAGTTTTGCAAAATAAAAGAAACAAAGTCTCTTTTCCCAGGTGACGGCCAGAACTTCAATATTTCTGGTTACCCTACAATAATCAAGAATGCTTCCAAGCTCTGTGGATAACATGGGGTTCTTTACAGTAGACTTCACTGCACTTTACAAAGGGAAACTGGAAAGTACTGTATATATCAGTCTAATCAGAAACGAATGTCTTCTCTCAGAACATCCCTGGGCTTTTTTTTTTTAAACTAGCGAGAATGATTTTTAATTAATATATAAGAGAGTCTAAATATATGCATTTCGAATAGCTTTTCACAAGCCATTTCCAAAGCCCATTCCAATCTTTAACAATTTGTCCCGAATTCTGTTAGTGTCTGGGGAGATAAGAGAAATAAGACTTGCTGATAGACTAGAACTGCAGGAGGGAGTACTGAGGGACAGAAAGGAGTCCCATTCCCTTGAAACTGATGTGTAGTCTCAAAGTAGGGCTAGTGCTGACAATAATAATGACAACTATATTCGTTCAATCTTAGGTTCTAACCATAAAGCATCACAATCAAGAAAAATAAGCTGCTGCAATATATATCTCCTTGTCATATTCTGCTGCATTATCATGGACTTGCTTAAATTTAGAATCCACTTAGGAGAAAAAAAAATAATTCCATGTGAGCACAAAAACACTAATTTTGTACTCAAACAAACAAAAAAGGAGGACACCAGGATCCTCGCTGGCTCAAAGCCAAAACGCAAAATGGAAGAAATAATGAGGCACGCTGAAGCAGACTAATATGAAAGAAGAGTTTTATGCAACGAGAAAAAAGAAAAAGTTTAGAAACTTTCAAGCTCTTGGGCTAAATGTCTCACAATATTTTTGCCCATGCACCAGTTCCTCTAAAGAGTTATGTTCCACCAGTCACTACCGATGGCTGTGAATCCTCACGTACTGAAAGCACTCTTCTAAGGGAACGCCATAAAGCACCTCAGCCGAGTTTCCTGGGGGCAACTGACACCCAGGACCCTGCGCTTCACGTCCGATGGCATCTCTGCAGTAGCGTCCAAGGCTTTTCTGGCTGGCCTCTCCCAGGACTGGGCTTCAGATGCAGCTGCACGCCCAGAGGAAAATACTTTCCAACTGCTGCATCGCAGGAGACCAAAACAGAAAGTCAAATGACCACCGGAGGACTACAAACCTCAACAGGAGAAAAACCTCTCCAACAGGCACCAGTTTTTTGTTTTGTTTTTTTTTTTCGTTTTACATTTGATGGGGTCTCGAAATCACCCGCCGCCTGCGAGACTCCAGTCTCGCGGAGGAAAGGCGGCACCTGTCACTTCGCTCAGCGACCCGAGCCCCACCCGCCCGACACCTGTCAAGCTGGAGCCGAGACCCCTCCCGGCCGCCCTCTCCTCACTCCCGAACCCAGACTCCTGTCAGCCTCCTCCGGGCGCTCCGCGGCGGTGGGGCACCGGGAGAGTCCCTACTCCCGCCGGGACCCGGTCCCCGGCGGAGACGCACCCCCGCCTAGACGCCGCGGCGCCCGCCGACGCACCCTCCGGGCGCCCTTCCTGCGCGCCGCCCGCGGCGGCGTCTCGGCTCGCTCACCTGGCCAGAGGCAGGTCCTCGGGGCCGCTATCCTGCTCGGGGTCCTCCTCAGGAGGAGGCGGCGGGGGAGGCGGCGGGGGCTCCGCGGCAGCGGCGGCGGCTGCTGCTCTACGGGGGGTTTTGGGCGGCATGACGCCCTCGCAGGGCAGGCGCCGGTGGACGCTGGAGGAGGGCCGGGGAGGGAGGACACGCGCACGTCGGGCACGCCCCGTCCTCTGCCGACTCCCGTTACAAAAATAATTTGAACGTCCCCTGAGAAAAACCGGACGAGCCCTCCCCCGCCCGGCAACCGAGCGCCGCGTCCAACCGCGGGAAAACGTCACTTCCGCCAGCGGCGTCACGTCCGCGAGGCTCCAGGGCCCGCCGGCGTCGGGAGGGCACCGGGGTGCCGGGCTATGCGCGGGGCGGGGGCGCGGTCGGGAGGGGAGCCCCGGCCTGGGCCCAGGCGCCCGCCCAGAGGCAGCCGCAGCCGCCTGAACCTGTCTCTTCCCGAAACTCGCCCCTCCAGGCGTGGGTTCCGGTAACGGGACGCTACCCAGCCTGGTGGGCGAGCGCAGGCCCCATCACTATCTGCGGGTGGATCCGGAGCTACGGCGGAGGCCCCGCCGGGAGTATCTGGCGAGCGCACCCGGGGCGGGCACGCCCCTCTGCTCCGTGGGCGGTGCCCTCCCTCTCGCCCGCAGTCCTACCGCCCAATCCGTTAAGCGAAGTCGTCCGAAACAAAAACAAAAACTTCTGGAACACCTCTCAGGAGCTGAATTTTGCCAACCCTTAGGAGAGACCAAGTATGGGACAATGACTGGCCTTTTAGAGTTCTTTTGGGGAAGGGGTTGGGCAAAGAACTAATGACAGGGTGCTAAATGATTTAACAGGGGTGTAAAATCAGGAAGCACCCTCGGAATGTATAAGGGACAGCTTCAGAGGAGCAGTGGCATTTGAGTAGAAGTTTGCCCGACGGACCTAACATTTAAGGAGGACTTTGTGTACAAGGGACTGTTCTGGCCACTTTACATAATTGTCCTACTTAATACTCAGAAACAACCCTTTAAAATGAGTCGTAGTCCTATTACACTTTCCAGCTGGGAAAACAGGCTCAGAGGAGTTAATTTAACCAATATTACAGAGCTGATGGGTGATGTTAGGTGAGCCGACGTGTGTTGTGAAAGAATTGACCGAAATATTAACAGGGGAAGAAAAGTTAGTTTTTATTCTCTTTCCTAGGGAGGAAAGGGGCCAAAAGCATAGAGTGGCGTTGGCCCTGAAGGGTGGGCGTTTGAGTCTTTTACTGAGTCTTAAAGGGCAAGATGCAAGAAAGAGGGGATGGGTTGATATCTATTCTGGTCCGCAGTTGTCACCAGGCTGGCTGTGCTTCTATAGGATGTGTTTTTTCTGAGAATAGACTTGTTGTCTTCAGTAATTTTCCAGTCCTTGGGTGTCTGAAAGAGACTTGATAGTGGCCCTTGACAGACGTTACTTTATTTTGAACAATGTTAGATGGGTTTACAGGTGGTAGAGGATTTGAACCCAGATATATTTGACTCCACTTATCCATTACATCGTGTTAAAGAAAACACCAAGAGAGGGAAACAGCATGTGCAAAGGCACAAAGACATCAGAGAAGAGTTTGCTGGAACTACCACCATCAAGCATTGGCTTAGAAACTGTCTCGTCTCTTGGTACGTGCTTGTAATAATAGATTGCCTAGTTTGAGTACATGTTTTTCTCTCATTGGCAGATGCTGTGGGTTGCCGGTTCAGAGCCTCTCAACTGAGGTGCTGTGAATAAAATACAGCTGTGCTCTGGTGTGAAACCCACCCCCCCCCCCATCCTTGGAACAGCTGAGCAAGGCTGAGGCAGCAGCCCCAGGCAAGTCATAGCTCTTGGGTTTATCCCTGTGTGTTGTACAATGGATTATCACTTTCTGTGTATGCCATGGTATATGCCAGAATGTGAAAAAGGGGTGGCAATCATTGGCCTGCTCAACAGCTGGTTCTGCCTAAGTTCAGAAACCCTCTCTCGGGGACTAAAAGTTTATCTGGTGGTAGGGTCCATGCCCAGGCCCGGCTACAGAGAGCACATACCATCACAGTGGTAATTCCACTCACCTTGCCCAGGATTAGGGTAGTCAGGAGCACAGGATCCAGTTTTGGTCTTTGCAGGATCAAAGAGAGGCTGCTGGGAGCCTGCTGAAAAGAGATACAAGGATGACATAGTTCTTCTACCCCTTAACTATTTGGAGGATGTGACACTTGCAGTTGCTGCAGCCATTGTGACTTAAGACAAGCTGACCTGAGGATGAGGCAGAAATACTAAGGATGGCACAATAGGAAAATCAAAAACTCTGGGTCCTTGGTGATGTAACTGAGCCTCTGATTTGACCAACCCTGGAGCTGACCTTAACAGAGCTGGGGTTTTCAGTTGTTTCCACCAAAAAGCATCATAACTGATAATATTGCTCCAGTGAACCCCTTCAGGATAGACACCCATCATTGAGGTTGTCCTTAGTACCTAGCACGGTGTTGGGCACACAGTAACTGCTTGTTTGCTAAAACTGGGGAGGGAAGGAAAGCAGAGGAAAGTTCTAGGAACTGAAGTAAACTCTCTTCATATATAGATATGACTTGCTTTGTTAAACCCAACTTATCGACACCTGGGTTTACTATAATTATGATAGCTCAAGAGAGATTTCTCAATTTACAAAAGGATGTGTATTTTTACCATGGATTACTTTAACTATGTTCCCTACTATAAAGTCCTCATACCAAACTCAGAAGGAACTGAGTCAGTCAACATCCTTATATTCCCCCACAGCTTTCTGTTGCACCACCAAAGAAGTGTTAGAAATTCTGCAGATTCTTCAAAGAAGTTTCCGCTGATCTTCCTCTACCTGCATAGTACTTGTAAGATTACTGTAAGACAGAAAAAAAAAGTCTTTCTTAGATTTTCTACCTGGAGATAGAACTCTCTTCAGTTTGAGGCCCCTTCAATGATATCAGAATTTTTTTTTTAGTCTCCCCTAGTCTAAGAAGTCTTCCTTTGGCTTTTTTTGTAAGCTACCACACTGTTTCCGTTTCTTTCCCATCTAGCTTCTTGAAAGGGTAGTCCCCATTTGTGCTTTCACTCTCCCAACTCCTCAGCGTGCCTCTCTTTGACTGCCACCACCAGCACTCCACTGAAACCACTCTTTCAAAGGTCACCAGTGTCCTAATTGTCAACTCATGGCTTCTTTTTGGTCCTCGACCTACTTGACCTTTCTTGCAGTTAACACAGTTAACCACTTCCGCTTTCTTAAAACCTCCCTAGTCTTCCACAAATCCATGATCTCCTTGTTCACCTCCTCTCTTCTGTTACTTCATAAGTTCCTCCACTAGTTCTCCCAGCAGTGCTATTCAAAGTGTGGTCCTTGGACCAGTGCCAGTCTGTAAACTGCTCGTGTTTAGTCCGCAAGGAGATAAGTACAGAGGTTAAGAGTAAATGCTTAGCAGCATTTATAGGAGTTTCACATTTAAGCAATATCCAAGCATGTGATCATTGGACACTCCTCATTAAACGGAGTATAGAGTGGTTCAGATGTTCTCCAACCTGCGTGGTGAGTTGCAGGTCAGTGGCATGATTGTGTCCTTGTCATGTGCCATAGGACCACATTAGTGAAGGAGTGAAATTTTTAAGGTTAGTTTGTCAACTGTAACCCAAAAGTGAATACAAATCTTGAAAGTAAATATTTATTTACTTTTATAATTTGTTATTTTTACAGTCATTTTAATTTTTAATCAAGCCCATTTTTTGAAATTCATAGCCAAACTTGGGAAGTAAAATTTGTGTCATTTGTTTTTAACCCTAAATTGGAGGTGGTGAAATAAGCCTCACTGTCCTGTTTCATCAAGAAAAGACACATCAGTAGTGGGTTAGTAATAGTAGTAGTAAACCAAATAATAACCAGAGAAGTGATTCCAAGAGTTAAAGATCTGAGTGTTTGTACGAATTTTACTCAGAAATAATCCCCCATCTACTGAGCTCACAGCCGTAACTCATAGTAAAGTACTAAAATCATGAACTGACTAATGAAGCAGTAAAGCCATCAAATTTCAATGGCATTTACATATAAAGTAAAAAGAAACTAACTATGAATGTGATAAAACATTTTGAATTTTTATTTTCCATGAAAATAAACACACATAGGGAATTCATGGATCCAGAATCTATTTCTTTCACTGAAAGATAATTTAAATGTAACTATAACTTAATAGGATAAATCTTTGGAATGGGCTACTGATGAAGAATTGAAGATGAATTTTGAAAATAAAGCATCGTTTGCTTCATTTGAGATAAAAATTAAAAGTGAATATCTGAGCTTGCTGAAATTGTTTTAAAATCTCTTCTTGTAGGGAATTCCCTGGCGGTACAGTGGTTAGGACTCGGCGCTCTCACTGCTGGGGCCTGGGTTCAATCCCTGGTCAGGGAACTAAGATCCCGCAAGCCGCATGGCCAAAATAAATAAATAAATAAATGAAATAAAATCTCTTCTTCCATTCCCTTAAACATACCTTTGAGAGACTGATTTCTCTGCTATTAGTGTTCTCAAATACAACATAGAAACAGTTTAGATATACATTACCTCCTGCTAGTGGCATTGTCAGCAATCCAACCTAGATTAGAGGATTTAACAAGCAAGAAGCACATTCATTTGTCATGTTAAAAACTTTAAATATTGACAAACTTAAAATATTAAATACTGTCATAGTATTTAATATGAGAAATTGCCAATTCACTACCAACCTTTTGTTTAGTTGTTATGACCATGGAATGATAGAAAATTAAGGATGTATTAGCAATTCTCTATATTAATCACCTACATGTACACTTTCAGTGAACAAAGTGCAGTTTCTGCACTTTTTTCTTTTATTCTATGTTATTTTTTGTTTTAATTCTGTTTTTTGAAATGTAATTTTGTGTCTGTTTAAAATACTTAAAGCGTGAGCTTGTGTTTGGTGTGCCTTTTTTGTTTTCATTTGATTTTTCTAGTACTTTTCAAAATGTTATTTTCCGAAAGTTTATTTTTCATGAAAAATTGGAAATTAAAAGAAAGGAAAGTTCGTTCCTTCACAGATAGTGTAAGATAGCACTGGCCTAGGAGATCTTCAACTCTCTTCTCTTCTTGCTCTATTTCATTTCCATGATTTAAATCACCTCCCATATGTGTGTTCTTAGATTCTTTCTGGTTTCAGGAAACAGAGACCTACTCAATTTACCTGAATTATTCAGGGTTTATGATTAGTTTAGGGGAAAAAAGTGAAAAAGACA